ATCATCTATTGGAGACGAACCTCCCGATACGAAACATCCTGAATACGCCGAGTGAGCTACGCTGTATTTTTCCCTTCAACCCTAGCACTGTCGTTTCACTGAAGTAACAATTGATGCAGCTAACGCTTGGCACATTGTTTTCGATCAATCAACTCGTGACTTTAATCCCTCTTTTATCGAAGTATTTTTATGCCTGGGTTGCTTCATTGCATCAAAAATGTACAATTAATTGCCACAAAACTAAAGATTGTTTATATTTTGAAACCCCGGTTGTTATCCGACCCATAAAATATGGGGAGCACAAATAATCATATCATCCAGGTATGGTTCCGAAGCCGTCGAGCAGACGTAGAAATTGGTGCAATGTTAAATACGTGATCATAAGGATTCCTACACGAATGATGTAGATCAATGATTAGGCTGCTTATGGAATACCCTATTTTATTACTACACAGGCCCCCAATACGTCAGATGATCCCATCACGACCCATTCAGAGGACGGAGACAAGCAGTATGACTTACATGTTTTACTCACAGTTTGGGTCATTCTTTTCGCTTACACTCGGGTTCCTCGTTTATGTTGGTTGCTTTGATACGACCCGATTTCTGTTTAGCTTACCATAATACTGGTACCATTCCATCCTCTAATAAAGTAGACCTCTTTTTGCACTCCAGCTAAATCCATGAACCGTGCCAATCCACCGGATCTGCTCACTCTGTCCCCAAGTCGTTCCATTGATTCTCAGCTGGCACAACTAAATCAAAGCTTGCACAAGACTCATCTATCCGACGTGTGAGTCAAATTTTTTCCGTTCGGGGGTCGTCTATATGCACGCGACTGTATTCGTCTATGTGGCGACACGGAACCTGTTCGCGTGTGCCGTCGGATGTTTCTCAATTAATGTGTATTGGCAGGCAGTCCGGCGCGTACTGTCGGCCCTGTGGCCTAATGGATAAGGCGTCTGACTTCGGATCAGAAGATTGCAGGTTCGAGTCCTGCCAGGGTCGCCCGACTTTTTCACCTTTGAGTTCAATGGTCATTCTTCAGCGGAATACCTAAATTTTCCAGTTTTCCACCTTTAATTTTTTTTTCGGTGAATCATCATGTCTTCAGTTTTTATGACTTTGAAGTTACTTTTTTATCGTCGTTCATAATGATGCATCAATAGGGGTTTGTGATTTCGTGATTATCATAGCCCCTTTCCGCTAGGTTCAGGCGTTTATTGCGACTGAAATCAAAATAAATGCCGGCGGACCTAGACTGTTTCTGTCCTTTCATGTTGCTCAAATACAACCTTTTTAATTTATTTTCTGTGTGGTTGAAAAATGTATTTGGTTTTTCTAGGCCCTATATAAATGTCGATTATAAGCACATTTGTTTTAATTTGTGATGTCGACGGTATAACTGGCCGTTCTAACTTACAAAATACTGAACTGAATTTAAGGTTTTACTTGCAGTGGGTTCACGCATGATCATGGACTGCTTACCAAAGAAAAGTTGTTCGTGGGCATATGATGCACGTGCAGGAGTATCAACGGAGCAACCACGAGAAGCACATCGATCCGTTTGGGGACATTTTCATGAGATTCATCTTAATTTACCGTTTAATTTTTTTTACTAGATGACATTTTTACGATTGTGCAGATTTATCCTTGTGTAGTATTGTGCCCTTTAATTTCGATACCATTTACATTATTTTTTGGAATCTTTTCCAGATAAGCCCCGCCAAAACATTAACCCTCGCCACCTAAAAAGATTAGAAAAAAGAGGATATGAAATTTTTACTTTTAGTTTTTATTGAAGGTGAAATTGGGACGTCATTAATAATTTGCACGAAAATGTCCTTTTTTCGGTACCTGTGCCTTCACTAAAGATCGATTTGTGCCGCATTGGCTTTCATTCTGCATCTTATAGATGTGGCAAAGAGATTCGTTGGTTTGTGTGTGAACTCCAGTCGTTAGATCCACAAAGTTTTCGAAATGATTAACCGTTTCATGAATATAATTCATGTCAATCATCGTTTCAATTCCTTGGTATGATGCCCACATATCGGAGATAATGATTGAGCCGGAGCGATGCAGGCCTGGATTGTGTCCATCAAAGTGGCCACAGTTCGATCTGGCACTGTATACATGCACACTTCTTTAGTTTCCCGGCAGATCCCTCCGAAAATCCACTGCTGGGGAAGGACTCGCCCTGCGTGGCTTTTACGGCGAGATATTAGTGTTTCATCGATCTCGACGTGTAGACCTGGGCCTCCGATACCTGTCGGAGTCTGCAAAAGCCGCCAGGCGCAAACTTCGCGAAGAAAGTTCTTCCAGTCATTAGCGGTTGTGTGGCTGGTAGATAATTCCTCTGAGCAGAATTTAATTTTTGCGAAATTTTTGGACTAGCAATAAATGAATAGAATTACTGTTCTGAACTTCATCTTAAACCGCTCCAGCCAAGTTCCCTTTCGAAGATCGATTTCTTGCCGACACTGTCGGGCATTACGCCTCCGCTTGTCAGAAACAGTTGAAAGCTTTGCAAAAAACGTATTGCCGTCTCCTTGTCATGAACGAGAGTTCAGAAAGTTCATTCAAGGTTTTACGTCCAAACGGAGAAAAGTTTTGCATAAAATGAGCCTAGATGCAGATAAGGAGTTGTTTTCATCAAAAATAGGTCAAGGTAGTGTGCAAATAGTGGCGAGGGCTTAACTTTTCGCGCATGCACTTTTTGCATTATTTTGAAAAGATCCTTTTTCATCATTTTTTGTATTGTTGTTGTTATAATCATCGTTTTTATATTTCTAACATCTGATTTTCAGGATTTTGAGGATGTTTTATTATATACTACTTATGATAGAGTAGATAATTCATAATTGCAGATGGTTGTCAGTGCGGGGGCATAAACGGTCAACGTCCACCGAAATACCCGCAGTTCCTTCACGGATCGTACGAATCTGTGCTACGGCCCTAATGCAATGTTTCTACCTGCATAGAAAGTTTGATCAATCAGATCAAGTGTTTGCTTCAAGCTATCCAGGTATGAACATCTGTCGGAGTAGCGATTCCGAATACAAGGCTGGAGCAGAGTCGTAGCTCAAGCTTCTGGAAGCTTCACGCCATAACTGGGAAGCCTAAAGAGGCCTCTTTAAACTTTCCAGTCATGGAAGTACAAACGGTTATCCTGGCTGGGATTGAAAACCCGAAGATCTACTGCATACTAGTGCCTTCCTGGCAGGCACCTAAAACTTAGGTTGTGTCATGCACGACCACATACGCTCAAAAGGGGTCCACAATATTCCAGTAGAATGATACTAGGGCAGTTTTTTGGAGGACGGTTGTTTCTGGTTCTTGTCAACATGATTTAGGATCAAATGGATGATGTTCAATATTGTTCTTGGTTCTATTTTTTACTATCCAACATTAAATGTGACGTTGGATCATGTCCGCAGCTGAACGATGCTACTATAACGTGCTAGTATTTTTTATCCACCTACGAAACTTATTGTGTTATGCATTTCACTGTGTTTATGTTACTCATGAGTAGGTCTTCGTCGTTTCATCTGTGATTCTTGAAAACAATTGAATAATTTGCGAGGTAAGGCATTTCCTCTGTTAGGTTGTCTCCGTTGTGGAGGAGTGAGATGCGTTTAATATGATGCGCACATTTATTCGGAGTGCCAAGCTTTCTACGATACCTCCACTATTGAATAAGGGTAAAGTTCTTGTGTATAGTACCTGGATTGTAGAGTTAATCGCTTGCTTGGACGTCTCCTATCCACGTTTTGTCGGATCGTGTCCATTACCTAGTTATCCTGTGCGCCAGTTTTAAGTTCAGAAAGGACACCCATCACCAGTTAACTTACTCACAACCACTTTCCGATCCCTTTTCAGCCCGTTCTCTCCGCGTTCTAAATGTCCCGTTTTAAACTCCGATCAATTGTTACCAACATCTTTGAGCGGGACCTATTCGACAAGCTTCTCCAGCACCTCCTCCGGCGCATCACGCGTTCAAGACGCTTTTACAACCTATTCCAATAGCGGATCCTCTGGAGTTACTCGATCTCGTGGCTCTGCTGATGATCGAGGTAGTAATGGCTCTGGTGGGGTTGGACGTTGGCAACTCGGTCGACTGCGTGATGTCTTTATGGCACCGAAAAGGCCTCAAACACAAATCACACCAGAAGGCCACTCTTTATCACAGCGATTAAGGAAGACGCGACATCTGAACAATGTGGTGCTAGCACGTCGAGGTTTAACCGCTGGTGAAGTGTTTGACAAGATTTCTAATGCGCTGAATCAGGAATCCATACGGTTCACATTGAAAGGGTAAGTAAAATTTTTCATTCATACTGAACAATAAACACTACCAGCAGCCGGATTAAACGGGGTATTGTTTAGTTGCTTGCAATTGTTTGTTAGACCATAATTTGTGGGTTCTTTTATCTCAATTTCGTCCCTGAAACCTAATGATCATTTATCCGCGAACGTTTAAGATAACAACTTTCTTTTCCGTTTGGATACCGAGCATAGGGTTTTGGGTATCGTGTGGTGATTCGGCAGTTCGTTTNGAACAGGTTTTTCGATATCTGTTTTCTTAGGCGTAAGTAACTATCAGCAAAGCATCCATTTTCGCCAACTCCTGAGTTTTTTTGATTGCAAAATACTGAAACGATTTACTTTAAAAGGGAATAAGGGTAGTATTTACCTATGAGCCAGATTATTGAGCATGCTTTTTAAAGGAAGAATAGCTGGAAGTGAGTGGGGAGACAGAGTAGGAGGGTGTTCCATAATTTAACAGTTCGGGGGAAAAAATATGCCAGCTTATATTCTAAAACTTACACTGATCGGTTTGGACTGCCGGTCTGAAATTTACGGTAGTTATCATCTCTTTTTGAGACACAGGCACGGCATGTGTATTTTCCTTAGACCTCGCTCTATCCGCTGTATTTTCATTTGTATATAGTCATACTGTCTTTTGAGTCATCTGTCACTTGATTTTGACATCCATGTGCCACACTGATTACTATCGGTGGTTATAATCAGGCAATCTTGTTTACGGTTTTGTTTTTTGCTTGAATGACTGAGATCCGAATTCTGTCTTCGTTAGTGAACCTATTTACCGAATGGTGCAATATCTCACCTATCTTTCCAGGGTCTTGGATTATTAGATCTCCACACTGAGCAATAAATTCTCTTGACTAGAGCATTCACTCGTACAGTTTACACTAAGATTTATGATGAATAGTTCAGAAATTAAAATGGGAATAAAACTTTATCCCTCGGGAGACTGGCTCGATAACGTCTTTTCTGTTGGAGTATTGTTCAGTTTTTTTCCATTTAATACAATGGAATAACGTTATATGCGCATCTTAATGGTGCACGAGACTGGGTCAGCAAATATTATCACGGTGTCGCAATGCAATACTCGTTAATGACATACAACCAGTTCTTTTCCGACTGTGCAAGGAACCTCTCACTATTTTATTAGACAGATATAAATCAACACAACACCTTTTTACCCAAACTACACATGATATCATTCCGAAATCGATGTGTATTATGATTAGTTCAGAGAACCCATGGACACTTTTATAGGTTGCCTGAAATAACCAGCTGAAAACATATCGTTCAGATTCGTGTTCTAGTAGTAAACATCAGCAAATTCAATGGGAGTAAGATGAATTTCGACTGAGCACCTGTTGGTCTATAAACAGTTACGTATATACGGCACAATCAGTATGACGGATGCCGATGTTTTGCTTTCACCAGCTCTCGGTTTTCAAACTCACCGTTGATACTGTTGTAATCTAGTAGTATACAGTGACCATAATGCAATCAATTAACCAGTTGAATGAGGTACATGCAGCTTAATTGGTTGGTGAAGAACCTAATGCCAGTGTATATGGCAAGTGTTTGGCAGGCATGGGTAGAGGTTCGCTGGTGCTATCCAGACCGAAGCACGCCATTCACACAATGCACATCAGCAGATCCGGAAGTTAAAAGCGGTTTAAACAAAGACAGCATGGGCGTACTCAATGAATTGTGATCAGAATTCCATTGATCCCACGCGTACCAAGAACGCGGACAAACCTGGTAATTAGTAAAAGTGCTTTAGATGTTTATGCTCGCTCTTAAAGGTCATCCGGCACGTTCGGATTGGACTCAGTGTCTAGTGGTTTGCCCGAACACTAGGGCGATTCACGCCAGTATTTCGGATGTAACTTGAATGCGCACTGAGAGTCCGACCGGTGATGGGTTTAACCAGTGGGATTTCATGTTAGTCCCTTACGTCTGAAGTGATCTGTTATTTTTTCAGTTGTAACTTGCAACCCGTGGGCTCATTTTCCTCATTCATTCGGTATTCTCCTCTTGAGTTCTCGCCCCCTGTTTATCTGTTACCTCTCTCAATGCATCTAATACAGAAACAAGACGTGCCAGAGATTGTGCCGTCNTTTCATGACGTTGTTAGCTCATTCGTCATTGGAATAGCGAGATTCAAATCATTGAGGCAGCCTACGTGTGTCCTATGCTTTTCTTATTGTCTTGATGGATTTCGTTCGATAATTGGTGTCACCGCATTTACTGATCATTCTCTGCGAAGACCAAGTAAACAGACCATCCGCTTAAGTTCATCCAATGTTATTGATCTACTTGCCTCACCGAAGTTGAGCATCATTGGGAAGGTATCAGTACTTATGCGCTGTCGAGTGTCGTTCGCGCCTGCTTCTTTGCCTCTCATCTGTAACAAAAATAGCCCGTTTGCACTACTCGTGCGGATACCAAATGGGTTTACATCACTCGCTATCTCGATGAGGCTGTGCCTCGTGTGATGTGATAGCTTGTGCACCTCTGTGACCCAACGGGCTTCACAGGATGCCTCTTGTTAAACTGAAGATCTAATCACGTCTGGAAGATTGATAGGTGGAAAAGAGACAAAATAAGTCTCCTGATCCTTCAGGCTGGGTACTCTTCTCGTGCTGGCCTCTCAGTCGATGGAAAACTATGGTGTAGTAAATGAGTCAAGTAGATGACCCTCCACTCCACCTTACCCACGGCCTTGCGAATAGAATCTTGTCGGAACTAAAGGCTCTCGTTGACAACCCTAGTGGTTTTCCTGTTCGGCGGTTGAACTCCATAGCTTCGGTGAACAGAAACAAAAAATAATTCCATACTCCATCCGTCGTTGCGCAGACTAATCAGGTTGGCACTACCCAATTCATCCAGCAGAGTGAGTAGTGATGAGTGAGCTACTGCTCAAATATCCCAGCCTTTGTTTAATACTTTGTATTTTATACGTAATCCTCTCCTTTTGGCCCTTCTTCCCACCGCTAACATTCCATCACGGTCGTCAGGTGGGTCAACAAATCGTGCCCTGTGCGTACAATAAACCATTTGGAAATTGTCTGCAGTGTATTGGCAACCTGACTTCCGGATACTAGTAGTGTAAGCTAATTAAGTGCTCCTGGTCTGTCAGATTATTTCATACACACATCAGCACACAATGAATCCCGCTCATTGGGTCAGCGTGGAGTAAGAATCGTACTAAAAGGGACAGGAGCTAAGAGCACCGTGACAGAGTGGAGTATATCAACAGTGGGATCAAGTCGGAGGTGCAATGCATTCGGCAGAACCTGTACTCAAGGACCCGACCCTAATTTTTTCGAAGATATCGGATCTCCCAGGAGTCATTAATCCTGATGGAACGAAAGCGAAAGAAGCCAATCAGCAAAGAAACTGATGGCGTTCTCAGCGTCAACTAGGAAGTCGTAAGAAAGATGGCAAATCTGTTGGGCTAAAATTGCCACCTAACTGGAAGTAGCGTTTGATCCAGAGGAACTTCCAGGTCTGTTTCATCTGTTAAATAGCAAAGGAAATTGTCTTATACTGGTCAGCAAAACCATTGGCAATAAAAATGGACAGAGTATTCACCTTAAAGAACTGGGTGGAATATTTAAGCGAACATTTCAACTAGTCAGGTGCCACTGTGGTTATTTTGGCAACTTCAACAGGTACTCCGTGTTCTTTAAACGTGTTAATCTCCAACAGAACTAGAAATTAGAGGTTGAATTCACTTGCTATAGGAAGAGAAGGAAACGAGACCTGACGGGCTACTCCTCATTCTGTTTAAGCTCTGTGAAGTGAATCTCTTCGACTCCATTACTCGTTTACTCCGCAGCATTTGTTCGGGAGAGTGAATCCGTTTATCCTTGTTTGCGTCATTGATCTTTCCGGTGGCATCGATCAAATTTTCGCGTCGCCTCAAGTCCTCAGTACACATCGTCGACCAATAATCGCAGTGTTCCTTGACCTCAAAGGTGCCTTCGACTCCTTGGCGGCAAAACCCTAATGGGATTGCCTCTTCGCAAAGGAATATCCCATAAGTATGCTAATGTAAGGAGATCATTGTGCTCACATAGGTTTGGCCCATAACGAACTAAGTAACTCGTTCATGACCAGCAGCGGTGTTCCTCAAGGATATCCTGTTTCTCCGTTCCTGTTCTATGGCGTCGTAGACTCCATTCTGGATGCGCATTGCACCTTCCAAGTGCACGGTAATGCTGCAAAACTAGACGTCGTCTATCGCGGCTGTGTAACTCGACAGTTAGGAATTGGTTGTAGCTGATTGCTTCTAATGAGGTATTTGCGTGACAAGTGACGTTAGCATGGTCGAAGAGGTAATCACCCGCATGTCCAAGGCAGGTACAACTTACGCAGCACTGACTCGCTGCCGTTATGTTTCCTGAAAACTGAAACGATACGCATGCTGCGCCACTGTGTAGCCGTTTGTTCTTAATGATTGAGAGACCCTAAATTTTGAGCGTGAAGACATCATTTGTCTGGAAGTCATTGACCAACGATGATTACGTAGTTTTTCGTGAGGTCAATGGTTTGGTCGTGTAAGCAACATCGAGGTAAGCCAACGAGTAATTGGCCATTATTCGTTGGAGATTTAGTCACCACATTGAACTCAGCTTAGGTGGCTTCGTTGGTTATGGCACGCACGGTGCATACTCAGTTGTCGTCTACCGGATCGCGCCTTATTTGCCTTTGCGGATCCAGGTTAGAAGAAATCACGTGGAGGTCGACAGATGAAGTGGAGATGAATCGTAAAGAAATGCACCGAGTAATTAGTCAGAGTAGCTATCTCCCTTCTAGGCTGGGGTCCAAAAGACTTTGTAACTGGTTGGTTAGAGACGGAATGGTATGGTAGCGAACCGGCATTGGTGGCTTTTTGGTTGTCACTTCTTATCAGATTAAAACACACCAGTTGTGCACTCAGCGCTCTGACCATAGATGATCCCTTGTCTTCCTCTAATGAGTCCCAATCCTTGTTCATCTAGTATGTTTACTCTTACTTTGTGTATTTGAAAGGTTGACAGCGACCACTGTAGTTCCGTTCACTGTATTTCTTTGTACGATAGTAATGATGATGCTCAAAACCTTTCTTAGAATGGTAATAGTTGATTTCTACTTGCTTCACCCAACCGGATATAGTGTATTTCAAAGTTTAGGAGGTTAATGTATTCGAATACAACTGTTTGTCTGTACAGCAAGTGCTACGAGCTGCAAAGCATTTATGGTGTGGAAACTTGAGAACATTACCCGGCATAAGCAGATGTCTTTTTTGAGGTGGAGTCGATTAGGTGAAAAATCGGTGAATTTGTATCCGAGTCCAATAAAGTAATAGGAAAATCAGTAGGTGCACAGAATTTTATTATTCTTCGCATATGCATCCGGACGATAATAAGAGCAAAAAAAAATGAGAAACTGCATAAGCTTTTCATCGGTTTCTATCTGCCGTCCCTATATCCTGATATATCATGCTTGGTAAACGTGTAGAACAGAGGTCCTTCCTCTGGCTTTGTTTTCCGCTTATGTGTCCAGTGTTGTAGCATTGGTTCATCTCTTTTCTCCACCGCCTTTGCGGAAACAGGAATGTATACCATAGAGTTTCTGTCGTTCCTTTATCATATTTACCTGTTATCGGTCAGGTCACAGAGTCTATCGTACTTAACCACAAGAGTATCACCAAGTATCTCAAGTGAATTAACATTCACTGACTTCCCGTTTCACTACAGGGTCCCATTCATCCTCTTGAGTAATTCGATCTTTCCGATTTTGGATTATGGTTTCAAGGTCATTTAATTTCCTTTTATGACGTAGGTCC